GTAATAATAAAAATAAGGCCTGTAAAAAATAAATACAAATTTCAATTTTTTTATTCATTTATTATTATAATTATTATTTTTAATTTCATTTGTTTTTCTGGCCTCATTTTCACTACTACTTAAGTAGTGTTCATAACTGCGAGGATCGCTTCCGTATTCATTTCTTCAGCTGCAGTTCACATATATGATTTACATATATAAAAACGCTTGAATGTACTGAATCGCTTCAAAACTCTGACCTTAATGATGAACTAGCAAGAGTGCTTTTTAGACTTCATACCTATGACTTGGTTGACATTGGAGCTTTTCGTGGTTGTCCATAGTTTTTCATCTGATTGGTTGAGAGAGTGGCGCGAGTTTTCTGGGCCAATCACAGAACGAAGTAAAGACAAACCAATGCAATTTCGGATTACTTTCGACACTCAATCGAAAATTTTTGTAAACATTACAGTCCTTGGTGGTGTTTCACTCTCATTTGAATACTCCTCTCAAACTGAAATCAATTCTTTTTCATTCTGTTCAGGTTAAAACAGGTGCTGTTACGAGTTGAAAATAAACTTGGACGGGTTCGAATTTCCGATAATAAGAATGCACCAAGGACTATCGACCTGGACATTTCATTCTGGGGAAACATGGAATGTGAATACAAACTCAACGATGGTTGTGCTGTAAAAACGTGGTTCATTCCTGAGCCAGACGCTTGCAAGCATTCTCACGTGATTATACCACTTGCTGACGTCACACCGGATTTCGTTCATCCAACAGCGAGAAAACCTTTAAAATCGATCGCGATGGAAGTGAGTGGTAACCAGGACTTCCGTTCCGTCTTTCCTGTCACTCAGATTTGCTGGAGTAATGGAGCTCACACAAATGGTATGGAAGATGGCTTGATTCTGGCTGATAAAGTGAAGTATGTGCAGGACGGAATCTGCAAGAAGCCAGCCAATGACGAGCTACATTTGAATGAGTTTGCTCATTGTGCTAAGAGTCCCGTTGCTTTAGTGACAGGCGCGGCAAGGCGGCTTGGTGCATGTATTGCGACACAACTTCACGAAATTGGATATAATGTCTTGGTGCATTACAACACGTCTGTCACAGATGCTACTAAGCTGGTTCAACAGCTAAATAGGTAACTATTACTCGTATTTTCATTTACTTAAAGATACTAAAGAAGGCGCCATCGCAAACTATCACAAAATATCGAATTGAAGACCCGCTTATGCTTTGGGAGTATTCCACAGGAATCAAAGGTCTATTCTATCGAGCAATAGGTATTTTCGAATCACGATAACAGTTCATATTACCCCCTTTGAAATGAGACTTTAGGATCTTGCACATAGACCCTAGCCATCAACTCCAGGGAATTCTGGGTATTTGGTATAAAACTTTTTTCGAATTTTAAGGTATATTGGTAACTCGTCAGAAAATTAAAATAGGCTATATTGATATTCCAATAAATGAACCATAGGCGAAGAAAACCATAGGTTACGATCAGAGTCCTGAAAATGCCAAAAAAATTTACTGGGTAATTCAGTTGTCATTATCAACTAAGTTAATAACGTAAATTGGCCACCGTTAAGAGTTTCAAATATGACGTTTTGAGCTAGCTCTGACGTAGCACTATGGTGGCCGAGGGTTGCCACTCAAAATTTTACAGTTAACAAATAGATTCCAAGTTGCCGTGCGTAAATGTGGTAAGAGCAAAAAAGTGGCACACGAGGCGCAGCCGAGTGTGTCACTGATGTTCTTACCACATTTTGACGTCCACTGTGATCTATTACTAAACAGACGCACTGCAACTTGGAATCTATTTGTTTTATGTAATAAAGAATTTAAAAAAGTTTTAATGTTGACTTCATCTATACGTCTGTCCTCCAATAGATCATAAGTGAGAACCAATCAAAACGCGTGTATAACTGAGCTTATTATATAATTTTTTTCAGATTGAATTAAAAATAAAAGCAAAAATAAATCAAAACTGAAAGTAAAATGGAACGTGACTGCAAAACAAAGGGAAAGAACGATTGAAAGTAAAATGAAGAAGAAATCAAATTTAAAACCAAGGTTACTGCATTATCAAAGTAAAAATCATTTCAAAATAAAACTGAAATCCAAGGGCAGTTCACGTCGAAATAAGCAATAAACTCAACATCATATCAAAACAAAAGTCAAAGTGAGTATCGCTGTGGCCGAGCACTGCCACTACCGTGATAGCGTGCAGGCGTGATCGTATCTCCCATCATGCATTATATCCTTTGTTGACACCTCCACACGTGCTGTCAAGATGGCAGATTGGAGGCAATTTCAGATGAAGCAGCGTCAGAAAAGAGCGGCTAAGGGAGGAAAGAAAGGAAAATGAAAGTCAAAATAAGCACAAGAAGAAACAGTAGTACAAAGAATGAGTTCCGAGGTTTCAGGGAAACAACAGAAGTATACGAGAATCCTCTTAAAACGATGTGGCGATATTCTCGTGAAACAACAAGGTAATCGTAAAGACGAATGAAATTAGTCTCAGATAAATTACGGAGATCGCTCGACCATCCAAGGGCTGAAATCCTTACTATAGTTGCTTCGTATTTGAAGTCGCTCTTGTTTTGTTCTAGGTCTTGGACATCTGTAAGAAGGTTTCAGTTTTCTCCACTACTTGACGGAAGGACGTGTCACATCAGCAAAGCATAAACTTTCGAAACTAAGTCGGCTCTAATTCCGCCCGTCGATTTTGAATTAGATTTTAAAATCTCCCTGAAATCTTTTGCTTCGAATTTCTGGATGTCATCTAATGACGAAATTTCCATATTGTTGTATTAAAGAACCATTTTAAAGGGAGAAATCGCATTGAAAAGTGCATTAGAACGTGAAATGTCAGCAGATCAGCTGTTTGAAAGAAAGGCCGGGTCAACCCCAGCCTCGTTATCGTGTGTGCGCGGTTACTAATCCAACATGGCGCCGGGAACTATAAAAAGGTCTATTTGTGCCATTTGAATTGGACGAGTTGTCATTTAAAAATATTGTTGAATCTTGTCAAAAGTACTTTGCAAGACAAATTGAAAAGGTATGGTATGCGATATTCTCGTTGGTGAGCGCGGCCTATCTTGCAAAAAGATAAGCCAAATACCGGACCTGAAAGTCTTCTACGTGAGGTTTATAGTGCCTGAAGGTGAAGAGGACGGTGATCGCCAATCTAACCAGGTATGTTGCTTTATTAATCCGTCTTCCATTACTGAAATGATAAAGTTTTACGAATATTTTAAGGTGATTACTGAATGTATTCCTGCACGCAGATCACGATAATGTTTGGATTTCACGAAGGTGTGAAAACATGACGGTGCCCACGGTCTCTTTAGTAGCGTCTTGTCGTTTTGGTAAACAGCTAGAAAATCAAATCAATAATATTGACAGAGTTCGCTTGGCTTTTATAATCCATGGATTTTTTGGGTTGAAAAAGATATCACAGAAATTGTGTTAATATAAAATTGGCAAACTATTAACATTATTTTCTTTTTTCCTCTACGATGTGATAGCCACCAAAGAAAACAAGGAAAGTGGTCATGTCTCTTGCAAGCCCCAAGAAGCCTGAATCCAAACCAAACCAACCAAGTAAATTTTACCCTAAAAGTTGATCCCTCAAGGATATGCTCTCTCTGGGAAAATTGCGTCCTGAAAGGAAATCCACAATCATATCCACTTATGAATTTGATTTCAACAATATGCTGTGGTCAAATTTCCCTATAAAAGCTGAGTTTATGATTGAAGACTTACCATTTGGTACTGGTGGATTCAGAAAAGCATTTAAGGCAACAAGCATTACAGATGGTTTCAAAAAAAGAACATGGGTGGTAAAGAAGTATTTAGAGGAAGCTTTAGAATTTATTAAACAAATCAAGGAGACAGAACAGATACATACACAAAAGCCAGTGCAAATGCACAGTTTGGAAAGGAATTTTGCCTCACAGATGAAAGATAAGATTGTTTAAGAGCAAATTGAAGGTTTTGGCCAAATCTTTGAATACAGAAAAATATTCATGGGTAAAATGGATGATGGGAAGTATGTTACAATTGAGGAGTTCATTGATGACTTTGTGAAATATATTAACAACAATGGTAAACTATGTGAAAATGGAGATATCTGTGACAAGGCACAGGCCTTTGCACAGTTCACTTATGAGTAGTCACAGGGCAAGCTAATAGTTTTAGACATTCAGGGTGCTGGGTATACTCTGTAGGATCCAGAAATTGCCTCTCTAGATTTACTAGGTGATGAAGGCAATTACCAGTTTTGTACAGGCAATTTGTTGCACATTGCCATGGAAAACTTTTTTGATGATCATGTGTGCAACAAGTATTGCAATCTATTGAAGTTGACTTTAAGACCAACAACATAGGCCATTTATGTAACAAGCTTTACTTTTTACTAAAAATCATATAATAACATGTTGAAGCAGAAACCGAACTATTTATTCAATTTATGACAAATAATTTTTTTCTCAAGTTCATGTTCCTGTTAGAGACTGACTGCACATTTACAAATCTCATAATTACAAGCTATGGAGTGAAGGCTGATTCACACTTAATTAATCAACAGAAAATCATGTAAGGTATAAATATAATTGACAGAAAAAATTGAGTTACAGTTGCTTTACACTTGAATGCCTAATTGATCAACAGCAAAACATAATATAACAATATACTTTAATACAGATGAACAATTTTTAATAAAAATACACTATATTAGAGTGTTTATGATGAAGAATAAAAATATCAAATCTACATTTACAAATTTCATCATTACAAGCTATGGAGCAAAGGCTGATTCACACTTAATTGATCAACAGAAAATCATGTAAGGTATAAATATAATTGACAGAAAAAAAAAATTTTGACTTACAGTTGCTTTTACACTTGAATGCCTGATTGATCAACAGCAAAACATAATATAACAACATACTTTAATACAGATGAACAATTTTTAATAAAAATACACTATACTAGAGTGTTTATGATGGAGAATAAAATTATCAAATTGAAAGGGTGCACTTGTCCTTCAAGTACAAATATGCAGTTGTCCATTCATCTGGTTTAATGATGTCTTTATCTGGTATCAGACGCTCGCATTCTTCTCTGAATTCTTCAGTCAGGAAGTTCTCTGGAACTCTCAGAACACCAGATTCTTTTGCTACTTCATCAAGTTGTTCCTCTGTAACCACAAAACCTGTAGTTGAGGGAATAAATAGACTGAGTGCCAACACTAACCATACAATAACTAAGTAAAATGTTTAATTAGTGCTATTTGTATTTTTCTGTTAGTACTTGTTACCTGGTTTAAGTGTTAGCCCTCAACTGTGGTCACACTATGAAGATATGTTCATGCACTGCTGTAAATTCTAGAATGTGTGAGTCCAATAGACAGACTTACGAGGTGGAGAACATTATGTTACTTCTGATAATATATGGGATCTCACTGTCTGGAATGAGTATGAATTTGCTTCAATGTCTTTTGAAGTTACTTGTAATAGATTTCAGGGCCGAGGGGATTATCTTAATATTATCAAACAAGGGGAAGAATGCAACTTTATGGTCATTTCTCACTAAAGTGTGTTTCATGGGTTTCACTGCACAGTGGCCTTAACCCTTTAACTCCCAGATCAAATTTGTCTTTCTCCTTATTGTCAACCATACAACTCTTATAATGTTAGGTCAGAGAATTTAGTATTGGATCAACTAATTATCCCCAAATTGACATTTTTCTTTAATCTCATCACCTATCTGGTTGATGTTGTATTGATATTAAAAGGAAAAATTATGTCACACTCACTTATGGCAGTTAAAAGGTTAAGGGGGAGGAGAAGGGGTAATGGTAGAGGAAGGGCCTTCAGTAACACCAAGCTTTGGTAAATACCCAAAAATTAATTGATGAAGTTCTATGGGAACACCAAGTTACAAACTGTACATGTTATCCAATTAGAATTTACTCTTGAAGACATGACAACAATTTTATGGTTTTTCTTCAACAAATAACTATTTTGGAGACATTTGACATGATTAATGTCTGATAGATTCAGACCAACGAGAACGTTTTGTTTATCTTGGTGCATTACATGCCCCTCTTTTTCTGTCCATTTCCCCTCCACTTCCTTTTAAGGGCTACCCAGACACTTTTTTTTTCTTTTTTTTTTTTTTTACATAAACAAGGGGTATAACACTTACCACAGTCTTTAAGGTTATATTGCTCTGGAAAGTTATAGATGTGGTCTGGTATTCCGTCCGGAAGTACTGTATCTTTCTGTGCTCGTATTCTGTGTGTGTTCCACACTGTTTCTCTAAAGACATCCAACTCTTTCTGTACAAGTGAGACCATGATAAAAGTCATAAGCATTCTGTATAAAATGATAAGTTTAAATTAGCTCAGACGTTAACCCTTAACATGCACTCCTACATCAATATGCATTTCTCAAAATTGCTCGTCAAACATTCCTGTTTGACAATTAAGAGCTTCTTTAGTTGGTGGTCATGTCCTTTATTCTCATGACCTCAATGTTTGATTCAGATGTAACATTGCAAGGAGAAATTATATGTTAGTCACATTTTGGTGCTGAAGGGTTAACCACATAAATAACCGTAAATGGTCTATTGAACAGTCACGTGGCAACACGGCGGCCCAATAATATGTGTTCTAAGGGGATTTATTGACGCATATAAAAGTCACTTCTAGTCATTTTAGTCATTATTTTGCCATACAAAAGCTGCAGATTCGTAAGTGTGGACAGCACACGAGAAAAGGAAGTGATATGAAAACAAACGAGTATCTGAATTCCTTTTCAGTGTTCGGCAGGATTCCGCTCGTAAAATTCAAGCTAACTTGGCGAATGATTCACAGAAAACGTCACAGACGGTTATCGAGGAGTCCTTAAAAGCCTGGGGGCAACTGGACATATTAGTGAACAACGCATCTCAATTCTACCCAACAGAAGCTGGGAAAGTAACTCAACAGGCCTGGAGAGAGCTCCTGGAGACGAACTTGACTTCACCATTCTTCCTATCGCAGGTAAAGGGTATAGTACTTGGGTAAAGGGTTAGATTATAATAGATGTATAGGTAATAACAAGATTTCTAGTGCAATTTGGTGTAAATAAGCACGAGTAAATTTTTAAGACAACAAAATTGCACGAGCTCGTAGGTTCAAACCATTAATCATTAGAATGATTATAGAAATTATAACAATAATAACAATAATAATGATGATTTTAAAGAAAGCGACAAAACTTTTGAGTCTGTAAAACATGTTTCGACAGAAACTTCTTTCATCTTCAGTTAATTACTGTACTAATCGTTGGAAGTTGAATTATATAGTAGGTAGAACAATGCTAATAATAATAAATAGTAACAACTAGAAAAGAGGTAAAGCATGAAAGTGTGAGAATTAAAAGGATAGTTTTAGATTTACATGGTTTAATTGTTGATTCAAGGGTGGTTGTTCTCTTTGAATATGAATAGCCTCTCTTTTATCTTAAGTTGAAAGCCGGTAGAGGCGTGATCTAAAACATGGAAGTTTTCTGCTGAGCACAGAGCGCGACAATGTGGAGAATCTTTCAGATGCTTGAAAATAATAATAATTGAAAATAATGATGATAGTGTAATAACAATGACGACAAATGGCATATTCAAAAAGTAGTAGTGATTAGATAATAGAACTTAAGATGTCAGTATTAATGATAATGATAATAATAATAGTAATAATGGTAATACTTCCACCAATAGCAAATAGCTCATTTGTGGTCGCGACATTAAAGTCAAATTTGCTGTCATAAATTTTGCAAATAACAGTTATGCAAATTGTAGATGATGAACTTAAAAACATTCAAACAACCCCGTGGTTTCAAAATCGAGAAACAATGACATAAATTACTCAATGATGCAATAAGGAAATAGAAAAATATACACTTTTTTGTTTATGGATATTTCAGGCTGCTTTTCCCAGCTTAAAGGCCACAGGTGGATGCATAATTAACCTTTTGGATATCCACGCTGATCGGCCACTTGAAAAGCACTCAGTTTACTGCATTTCAAAGGCTGGTCTGAGCATGTGCACCATGGCCCTTGCCAAGGATTTCGCACCTTTTGTACGAGTCAATGGTATCAGCCCTGGAGCTATCTTATGGCCCGAGCACATAAGCGAAAAATCGTCGGGATCTAAAATGACGGAGATTCTGGAGAAGATTCCACTAAATCGTAAAGGCGAATCTAGCGACATTGCTGAGGCAGTGAAATTCCTTGCCTCCTCAGCAGAGTACATAACTGGACAGATCATCCGAGTGGACGGCGGTAGATCATTGAATCAGTAAAGCTGTGATTGCTATTTTGTTTCAATGATATGCTACCCGCGTTAAATTGCAAATTGAATAATAAGCCGAATTATAAGACAAATTCACCATTAACAGCATTTCCCTTTTTCATCTAATTAACAAATAGATTCCAAGTTGCCGTGCGTCTGTTCTGTAATAGATCACAGATGACGTCAAAATATGGTAAGAACAAAAAAGTGGCACACGAGGCGCAGCCGAGTGTGTCACTGATCTAATCTATTTGTTTTATATAATCTAGAATTGAAAAAAAGTTTTAATGATGACGTCATCTATACGTCTGTCCTCCAATAGATCATAAGTGAGAACCAATCAGAATGCGTGCATAACTGAGCTTATTATATAATAAACAAATAGATTCCATGTTCCAATAGCCTGTACAGGTATAGATCGCAGAAGGCGTCAAAATACGGTGAGAACGTCAGTGAATCAGTTGGCTGCACCTTCAGTGTCTTGAAGTCATCTGTGATGCTTTACAGCACAAACCAACGGCGACACACAACCTAATTATTAATCGTGCACGTTCTTGCTACCTTTCTATTAATAGACAAGAAAAGACAGGGCAATTATGGGTTAAAAAAATCGTCTAAGTACTCAAAAAATTGATTGCTTTAGTTGAGTCATATGACTGTAAGATGTTCAAAATGGTTTTATCCCTAAGGGTGTTAGAGGTAATAAGTTAAATGATTTCATCTTGAAATGTGTTTCCAGACTTTTTCAACTGCAAAACGGATGCTTAGCGTTCATCAGTTTGTTTAAATAGTGTTAAGATAATGAGTATAATCAACTTCTGCAAAGATATACTTTAATTGGAGAACTTGATGCGCAAACGCAATTTCATGAAATGGAGCTGTTCAACGATGGATGTTAATATTCATAATGTATTTAGTGAGACACTTCAGCAGCAAACTCGTACGGCTGTTATAAAAACAATCTTTATTTATCCCTGCATAGAATATGTGTGTATCGTTTCCACGTGCTGCACAATAAATCATTTAGTCTCATCAAGTCTGTTCTGGTGACTGACTGCTGCTTTGAATTTTCTGGACTAATTCCATGTTAGGGAGCACTCATCACAAGGGGGGTGGGGGTGGAGTATTTTTGGGGGCGTTACATTGTTTCCAGGGGAATAGAGGGGTTATCGGTTGTCACCAATAGAATAGAAAGGAAGGACTACAGAAAATTCACTGCCTGTTAACTGTCAAGGGACGGCAACGCCAAGGAAAACTTCTATTTAAAAATAAATATATATCTGTAGTTAGAATTTCGCGAATGATTGGGTGTGTTTACCATCTCTTACGGCGCCGCAAATTAACCACAGCATAAAGTATGAGGGCGGCGTTGAGTTCCAAATGGAAACTTAAATTTTGATGATCTCACGTTGTCATTTTGCAGAGGACCGCTAAGAAATGCACACAGTTTTAAAACGCACGTGCTGAGCTATTGTTCTGCTCATTAGATATTTTTTATTTTACCGCATCTCCGTGGCCGTCGCCGCCGTGGTTTGCTAAAGATTCCTACTGAGAGGGAGGGGGGGTTTGATCATAAGAGCCTTACAGGGCTTTTTGAGTAGATCAGATAAATTTTATTTTGACCCAGCCAAAATCCTCTACCACCTCGACCACGACAAACAATGACTAGTCCCTAGACGTTGTTAGCAACCTACGTTTTATCCTATGGCTGGTATAGAGTATGTCTTGAAGATCAAGAAAAGCTTTTTTCATATTTCATACACAACTGTTTCGGTTTAAACATTTCTATTGCGCGATAAATTTAACAAGGGCGAAGCTTGAATCAGATATTACGCACAGATATCGAGAAAGAATAATCTAATTGGATTAATACAAATCCAGCAGTACTTCAAAGCCTAACAACAACATAGGCTCATGTTTTTATCTCATTTTGTTTATAGCTGCACACTATTAAGGCTTCTTAGTATACTCAGTATCTATAACCGTGACATAATATATGGTAATTCGCATAGCCAAACAGATTGTTGCATTTGTGAGGAACGCCAACAGATTCATACGAAACATCAGTAAACTCTATCAAAGCCTTAATCCAAATTTGTCTCGGGCCAGAAAATCTGCATAATTCTCTTTCTTTAGTTGACCGTTCTCTCCCATCAAAGTTTTCTCGAGAAAGTCTCTTACATTGATACGCTTCGAAACCGGGTCACCCATTTTTGCAGAGCGGTCATCCTACTCTTCGGCCGTTTCTGTTTCTCTGGCTTTGCAATTTCCTTGTGTTTCAGATAAAAGAAGTTGAAATTTGTGACAATGACTGTTGATGGTATCGCCAGGACACAACAAACTCCGAATACTGCACACAGCGCACTGAAAACTTTTCCCGCCACTGTGACTGGCGTTATGTCACCGTATCCCACCGTAGTCATAGTAACGATGGTAAACCAAAATGTGGCGGGGATACTTGTGAAATTAGTAGCTGGGACAGTACTTTCACAGTAATAAATCACTGATGAAAACAGTACCAGGCTGATTACCACGCAAATTAACAACAGCATTAGTTCTTTAAGGCTTGTCTGAATTGTTTTCAAGAACACTTGTAAGCCTAACGAGTAGCGAGTCAGCTTGAAAAGTGAAAAGAACGTGAGGAACAGAAGCACGCGTTGCAAAGGAATTGTTGAGGTTTCTGACGCTAAAGCTTGGATTATGAGCATCATTAGGTGAGGGAAGAAAGATAACATATCAAAAATACCCTGAGCTGAAATCAAGTAAGCCACCCTACTTGTTGCACTGAATGCTCGAAGAGCGTACTCCAGCGTAAACCACGAAATGCAAAATTTTTCGCTGAACGACCAGAAAAGTTTGATTTCACGTCGCCGGAATAAAGTGTCTGTTTTGTTCTGGTCACAACATTGGTCCAAAACAAAAGCTTCTCTGAGATAGTATTCTGTTTTGCCACAAAGTAAAGTGATGAAAAAGATTGTTATGAATATGGTCCAAATGTCTACAACTTTACGCAAAGGGGATGCTTTTTTCGTCTTGCTTGAATCGAACAGCTGTCTTATTTTTGAAGAACACTCTCTTCTGGGCAATGATTCCACTGAAATGTCTCTACTTTTCACGTTATATCCCAGTTTTCTTTCGGCGTCCTCTCCCAATTCAAAAAACTTGACCTCCTCGAGAAATTTTCCGTCTGGTATCCCATCCGGTTTCACAAGAATCCCACCGGTATTTCCGCCAGATTGGTAATAGAATAAGATACTGTCAAATACACCACGGTCTGTGCTGAAGTAAAATTCGTTCTTTGTCGAGTCATAATACGGCGCCCTTTTTGATGGCGTTCCCAACAATGAATCAGGAACCCTTGCGAGCGTGCTTTCGAAGGTTTCAAACCTTGATCCGGAGATATTTATAGTAATTCGAGTATTGCCAAAAACACCTCGGGATATTTTCTTCAGTTTTCTCTGTGGTCCACTAGTGGGGACATTGTCTTCAAAATTGTTGTTAGCTGCACGTCTTGCTTGGTTCTTTGCTAAAATTGGTTCATAATCTGTCAGAGCTGTGGCTGATGAAATGGATGTATCATCACTTAAGCTTGAACTTTGACGATTTCCTTTTTCGGTAATTAATTCATCGGCGTTCCCAGACACTGGCTCATACTTAACTCGCATTTTCCAAACGGGACTCGATGACATGCTTGTCAGGAACCATCAATTTCACTTAAAGTCTTGCACGTACTGTGAAATTTCGAGGTCGCTTTACTAGCTACGGGCAAACAATAGGCACTCCATACAGAATGAACTCACATATCCTGATGTTTTCGCAAGTCAAAGCTGCGCGACAAAAAAAAATAGATGATCAAACAATCTATTTATATCGTGAGAATATTTTCTTGATTCACCACTGGATCTTTCAGTTTGAGCAAAGTTTCTTGGTGTTTAAATGTTTCAATCGCCGTACCCTATCTACAAATTCACAAGAATACGCCAGCATGACAACATCCTTGCATCAAACGAGCATTCAACTCGATCCACTTGTGGTGACTAATCTTTCTTTGAGTAATTAAAATCTGCTTTCTTAATACCCAAGATATGTTCTTCTGTCCTACACATCTAGGAGGTGCTCACTGAAACCAGTTGCTATTCCAAAGTAACCAAACCGCACGTGATAATATGGGTTAATAAACGACAGACGAAAGAAAATGTTCAGTGTGAAATAAGAAGACAGATGATACGTTGTTTACGTATTTAACCGTGTTGGTGAATAACCTTGCTGCCCTTTGATAAAATCAGGGCATTGATGCATATAGTAATAGTCACGCAAAGAAAAAAAAAATGATAAAAAAAAATCGGTGGTCATCATGTCATCATGTCGGGGGAGGGAAAGGAGGACTCTAATTAGTAAAGAATTTGCGGAAGTCGCTGGGCACCTCAAATTTACGAGACAAACCGAAAGCAAACAAACTAAATAAAAGAGCCACTTCATATGTCATAGCTTTACAATGGTTACAAAAAGTGTGAGAGACTATTTCCGGGCATGAGTTTATAAATATCTCGATTCTCCGCCTCTCGAAGATATCAATGACAAACTCGAATCGCATAGAGAAGTATGCGTGACACATTAGGAACACCGAACTAAAAGAAAGAAAGAAAAAAATTCACCCCTTCGAGTTAACTGATCTTTTTAGGATACCTATCAAAGTGATTTGTTAAATAATGATTTTATTTTGAATCACCGAGTCGATACAATTCAGCATGGCCCGCAGCTGAAATGATTATACCTGATTAAATGATAGAGAGGTCGTCACAAGAAATTGTTCAGCTGTATTTTGGCCAAATCGGTTTATATGCAAATGACTTTTCTGCTGTCTGATTGTGAATGTTATTTTCACAAAGCCTGCTTCAATTCAAGTACGCTTTTTCTTTCTAGTCCTCTAGGGACCGGAAACGCGCAAGTTGTTTAATTTTTTCGAGGGAGAATGCTCAGACCGTCCTCCTGAAATGTGTAGCAACCACCTTGAGTTCTTTAAAAGGAACAAGGCTTGAGCGACACAATTCAAACTCTCTACAAAATCAGACATGGAGTCTTAAACAGTGTTCTTTAATATCATTAACCATGATGCACTTTCAAATTTCGATTCGATCTAAAAGTATTTCACGTTTATAAAGTATATCAAACTATTAACTAATTAACAATCCGTGTTGAATCGAAAAAAAGAAAACTGACGGACAGAAGATTGTTAAAAAAAAAAAAAAGATCTTATCCACTGTTTGGGTTTCGTGAACAGAATATAATATTTTCTTCTTTGATGAAGATATGCATAATCAAAACTTTGTAAGGGAGTGAAGTGTTGGAATCGTAATGACGCCATGTATAAGTGCAAAAGAAAAGTGATTATTAGTGATACCTTTATAATCTGTTGGTACCTTACTGCGGATGAACTACATCATGAAAAAAAGTCACGCAAGAGATGTTATCAATTTCCTACCTAGAAACATCTCGTGCTCTGACCTTCTAGACCCCAAAGTCAATATACATGTTCTCCATACTGTTCTTTATACATTTTCCATGGCACTGGCAATTAAGGAGAATCCATAGGCAATCATTTCCTTCATTAACATACCCGTGATGTTTGAATTACCAGTTACACTGTGAGGAGAAAATAGGAGCTGAGTTCCAGGGGTACGTAACACTACGCGAAAGAAATTTATTTCGAATGTGTACCATGACTATGTTCACTGAAATGACGATTATTGCGAGACTGTTAATGATCATGATAATAGTGGTGATGATGACGATGACGATTTCAATGATGATAATTATGGTTTTCAACAAGGATGACGACAAGAGAAATGGTGACGGTCGAGATGACGCTAGAAGGTAGGTGAGGCAGATTTCTATCCCATTGTGCGGCAAGTGAGTCAATCGTCATGTGTTTCATTGTCTTCTTTGTCTTCTATAACTGGCATTCCCTCAGGTTCCACAAGCCAAGCGAACTCTGTAAAACGGTTATGAATTTGTGTTAGAGGAAAAAAATTGAATCGAGTGAGTGATTATGAAAAAAAAAATTATCCTCCCTTACCCAGGTGAATTTTTTTCACGGTCGGAAATTCGGAGATCCTTCGTAAGTCCTCCGAGCAACACGCCATTAACATTGCAAATTATGGTTAAGAAAAAGGAACCCTCTTCTCCTTAGTGATACGAACGAAAGTAAGAGGGGATTCCCTTGGGTTTCCTTCACTTTGCATTTTTATTGGTTAAAAGAACTCCTCCAACTCTCTCCACTTTAAATACACGAGATAAAAGACTTTATAACTACAACAAAATGCATATCGGCGACCCAAGCTCTGATGAGCTTGAGGCCGTTCACGTGTATTAACTCAGTCTAGCTTCTTGTTGGCTCCTCGTTTAATTGGCCGCTAAAGGCAATCACTTCGGTTTTAGTTTCACGAATTTAATCATTATGCTCTCTAAACCTAAATTATACGTGCGGGGCTCCTACCATCCAGACTGATCTTTCTGTCCTGATGTAGGTTAGCGCTTGTTATCAAATCTTTCAGGTCGTCTGCGGAGACTTTCCAATCCATATTTTCCAGAAGTTCCCTCAGCTCAGATGAGTCAATGTATCCCTTGTTTTCTGAGTCAAAAACTCTAAAAGCTTGAATGATGTCTTCTTCCTTCTCCTCGGGTTTTTTCTGCTGTTCCATGAGTTGAATGTATTCCTCCATATTCAATCTACCATCACCTGGTTCGAAGAACACAAATGGTCCTAATTCAACATTCATATTTAGTTTATGGTGGCTGATTGTCGCGATAAAAAGCAAGTCACTCGATATCGTGCAAAAGAGCCCCCTCGTTTTGTTTGCGAAGAAGATCCGGAGAAGAAAGCTTTCAGTTTCAAGACAACCAGTTTATGTCATATGGCTAAAATCATGCACACGGTTACACATAAGATCCTCTCTATTAGACCCCCGTAGGTGGGCGCCCCACGTCGATCTAGTCACGCCTTGAATTACAGATATAGATAATCATTTCCTATCGTAACCTCCCTATACTCATTAGTAGTTTTCTTGACCTCATTCGTTTGTTTAACAAATCGAATTCATGTTAACGTGCGTCTGTTCATTACTAGATCAACAATGACGTCAAAATGTGGTAAGGAAAAAAAGGTGGCAAACGAGGCGCAGCCGAGTGTGTCCTGGATATTCTTTCCACATTTAGTGCGATACATTACAAAACTGACCCACAAGAACATAGAACCTCTATATTTCATTCATGGTGATGTCATCTATGCAATTGTCCTCCAACAGATCATAAGTTTAAAAAAAACTGTCAACGCATGTTATTAATTTTTCATTTACCGTCGTAATCCACTGTGAAAATCATCTGTTGTAAGTCCTCTTCGGTTGGATTGAATCCCAAAGTTCTCATTATTGAATTCAGTTCACTAGTAGTAATGTAACCATTATTATCCCGGTCGAACATGTAAAAAGCATCTTTATATTCTAAGAAAAAAATGGAGAAATGCTTAGCGCTATGTATGAAACACTTCGTCCGTTCAACTGGAATCTGCTCAATTCTTGACGTAAAGTGTAAATAAAGTTAAGACCGGAATAGGTCCCGGAAGAGTGCATGGCAGTATGAGTGCTTGTATCTAGCAAATTAACTAATAATGAGCAAAACAGGAAAAGTTGAAGTTATCTAATGTTTCGTAATTAAAGTTATTCGAATTACCCATAACGTTAATCGCCGAGCGAGTGTCTCACCATCAAAAGCGAAGTGATCACCGAAGTCAATCCGAGCGAAGAAAAACATTTCAGAGGGCCAATAAGAGCTCCAAGTAAGAACAATCCAGCTGATTGAAGCGTGGGAAAACACAAGTAACCAAGTCTTAATTAGTCTTAGCTTGGGACCTGATTGGTAGAGGGGGTCGCGTAAGTTTTATGGGCCAATCACAGGCGGAGTAAAACGAAACCCAAGCAATCTTTGGTTACTTACGACAATTAATTGAAAATTGCTCTTATTCGTGAGGAAACATAATCCATCGTGAAAGAAAAGATCGAGGATCGCTTTGTAAATATAAGATAAATACAGGATTCGTGAAGAAAGCTATGAATTTACTCATACCTTGGATTTGCTCTTCAGACAGCCCCTCCTGTGAATGACAAGAAAATTATCACGTTTCAAATGTTAATAATCCATTATGTTTGAACTTATCGATAGTTGAACAGTTCGGAATGGGATTTAATGTAATAAAAAACTGATCTAGCTAATTAATAATAATTGTATATGATAGGTTTTCGCTGTAATAAAGGTGTTGGTACGGTGGCCCACAACTGTCGCGTCAAAAGAAATGACCTCGCTGCAAAAGAAAGAGACTCACGACAAAAGAAAGAACCTCACGGCAGAAGAAAAAACCTCACGGCAAAAAGAATAACCTCGCGGCAAAAGAAAAAGAATATAAATACAGGCGTTCAGTTTTAACTTGTAAAACTCCCAAAAGAAGTCTACGACAGCTGAATGAAACGGGTCGGAGAATATAGAAGTTTTACAACCACTGTTCGCAGAGCGCTGCTCACTAGTTCAGTGACCAACACTCTGTCGTGAGGTTGTTCCTTTTGCTGCGAGGTTATTTCTCATGCCACGAGGTTATTTCTTTTGCCTGACAGTTGTGGGCCACCGTATGTTGGGGAATAAATAACAGATTCATTGTCATTACCTACTTGTAATCATTTAGAACGCTAATTAACGAATATGTTAATCAACTCTGTCTTTAAAATATTCTGGTTATGCGGATGAAATGCAAATAGAGCTAGAGCAAACCGAAGTACAATTGAAAGACACAAATATCATTTTCTACTATCGATTCATGAGTGGACGGTACTATACAAATCCTACGATCTGATTGGTATCAAGAGCGGGAATTTTTTTCCCATCAATGTTTCGGTGAAGCCTGTCTATTTAATTTGCCTTACCTCTGTTTTCTATACCATCTATTCGCTCAAAAAATTATTCCGTTTATGAAGGATCTTCCCGTAATTACACTAAAAAACCTGAGCTCTAAATCATCTGGGCTCTTTTGGAAAGCATTTCGTAAAGTTTGAAAATAAAATAGAAATCTTATCCACTAGCCAAGCTCGATCCGTATCGGGAAGAAATGTGTCCTCTGTCTTGAGTACCGCATGGTATCCAAGACCTCGGGCACAATTTTCCCCACACGGACCTCCCGCCTGGTGAATAACATATAATTATTCTTCAGTAAAATTATCAAATCTAACATCTTTAAATTATGTGTTAGAGCGATTAAAATTCTTGAAAGGTGAAATAAGAACATTCTTTTGCTCCATAACAATTTCCCAAATTCCGCCGGCCTTATTGAAATAGATAATAGAACAGCACTAAGATGCTTATCTCATTGTTGTATCTCAAAGTTCAGTTAGTTACCATTCCCCACAGAAAGCAACCATTTTGCCAGCATAGAGGAATAGATATAGCGTCTCTGACGTTCCGTTTTACTGGATAAGATCGCTCACAATAAAGAAAGGGAAAATATTGTTGTCTAAAAACGTAGTGTAATTACTTGCCGTCGAATTGGAAGTTTGTTTACAATAGGGAGGGTAAGGCTATCTGGTCGTCAAGGTAAATTCACTTTAATTTAAATAAATCACAAAGACCTATGTTTTTGATAAATTTGATCGATGTTAGATCGCCTTTACCGATGTGCCTTTTCTTAAAGTATTTCTTTTATTAAAGCGCGCGTAAAAACGTTTGAAGAATTCATAACGTGTCATTATGACTACTTACAAGCTAAAATGCGAGTAGCCAATGTCAAATTTTCAACACTGAATAGAATTGCAACCTGCTGAACGAAATTAAATATTAACAACTGCCTCGTTTGAAAATAAATAAGGCCTTTAAATGCCAAGCACGCAATTACACACTCCTGTTTAGGTTTTAAAACATTAATAACAAATTTTCGTTGAAGGGAAAATTGAAACGCCAAGAATGGAATGATGTATTTCCAATATCCTAAAACTACAAGTACAGAATGTTTCTCTATCTGAGATAGTAGGCTGATAGTAAAATTAATAACTTATGAATCAGTCGAGTCCAAGCTCATTTTACTGCTTCTACAGCTAACGAATCTATAAACACCACAAATCTGGCGTCTTATTGCTTCGTCAAGCAGGTGGCCAGTGTTGTCTACTAGAACCAAGGAGATTTTTAAAATGGAAATTTAAAATCGTTTTTAATGACGGCTAAAATGTGACTGCAGTATTTATATGCCATTTGGCCTAATTTTTACTTATTTGCAAATTTCCTTCTTAGAAACTAATAATTAGAAAAAGAACAGTAAAACGTTCTTAAAGCCGATCTACTGTTTTGCTTTAGAATATCTCTATTTCCACATTGTTCAAGGTTTCAGGTCAAACATTTAGCTCGTTTCGTTTCTTCTTCGATTAATTTCCCAGCGTTATATAATAACGGCTGAATAACAAAATTACGAACGAATGAAGCATAGTTAAAAAACAAGCATAATTCTTTCATTAACTGCCAACTTTCATGACTCTGTGCGCAATACTTAGAGGGCTACAGAGTAGCGTGGCGCTTTCTTGCAAGCCAACGACGCCTTTTAGCTATACAATCTTAAAGACATTATGCCCATCTATTTGCAATAGAACCTACCATTTTGCTGAGGCGTTCACTAATTTATACCCAAAGGACTTCGCAGTTACCAGGTGAAGTACTTCAAATTCGTAAAACGTTTTACAAGAAATTTCAGCTTGAATATGATATTGCGCAACTTAGACTCTAGGAGGAGTTTGTGTTTTCGTTGTGATTGGTCAAAAAGTAAACCCTAGCGTACCATATCAGACATGCGCAAATGCAGGGAATAAAATATCGTGTTAGCATTTTGCAAATTACCAACTTGATCATTATTCCTATTGTAAGGTATGAATTAACTATTATACTTATGGAAACGATACTTGAACCAATTCTGTTAACTCCACATCAAAGCCCGAGTGCTTTAAATCTAAAATGTAGTTAGGAGAAGGTCTTATTTTAAGACTATAAGTGCGATAAACTTCAGGATATTCACGGGGCTAAATGCTAGACAACTAGTCGCACATTCAAGCATTTATTTCAATAGTCTGTAATGCTTCCCTTTGTCATTGTACTGTTACACATTCTTAATCCTTTTTGCCAGATATATTTCATGCGTAATTAATCAAGCTTTTTAATTTTTCCCCATTATTTTTATAATCCGTTAAACCTTTAAAAAAATATCGTGGAATCGAAAATTTGCGACATTACAATAAAATAAGAATGCGTCGACATCAATTAATTGACGCTTCAATATGTAAACGAGATGAGAGAGGCTGATTGTTTAAACAAAGTTTAGCTGTTGTTTAACAAAGCCGCGGTCTTAAACAATTCTTAATTTAGCTGAACCTTTTGTCTGATCATTGACATTTTGTGATTAGTGTTAAGAGGGCCAGGAGCTAACAGGGTAAGGACATTCGTCTAATTAAATCAACTTTCTTATATAAAAAGCCTGGCTCCCACTGATTGCGTAAAACTAAGTAAGATCCTGAGTAAATAAGCGGCCCAAAGAGTTTCAACGATAACTGTGTATAGAAATAAATTGATGACTAAAAGATGGATAAAAGAACAAAAAATAGAAGAATGAATGAACAATTTTATGAATCGATTAAATTGAATATAAATTAGGTTCATTGGACTGTATGACTGCGAAGAAAAGAAAAGAAGAAAAGGTAAGGATCGTTCACTTGGAGCCAATAAAGTATTTTCCTCTTAGGAGTTTTTCTTTTTGCAAAGTAACGAGTCGCCTCTTTGGATGAGGACGAGACTTGATGATTAGTATATACCAAAACAGAGAGTAAGTGAAGGTGGCTCTGATTGGTTACTTAATCTCCGAATATCCTTTGTTTGTGTAATTGCCCTGGTGATTATAGAGATACGTGTGCTCTGATTGGTCGAGGATTGCATCTCGCTATCATCATCTCGCTCAAGGTGATTATTGCAGTGGCGCTAAATTTAAAGAATCAGGTAGAGTGTAAGACTTCCTCCCACGTCATGTTTTCATTCAATGTTTTCCATGACGACAACTTTCTATTTAATGCTTTAAAACTTAAACACGTTATGCAAAATCGTGTGCTTAGCAATTGAAAGCACTATACGGCAAATTTCAGATGAGGCTATTTTTTCAATATTCAATTTCGCTCAGCAGGTTACCGTTCTATTCAACGCTGATAAATGACATTGGCTAATTGTCTTAACCTTGTTAGTAGACATAATAGCACATCAAGAATTCGTCAAAGATTTGTACGAGGACTCTAAATCGTCATTGACAAGTCATAGTGTAGGAGGCAAAATCTGCAAAATGCAGGGCAATCAATCCGAGCACGAAATTTCCTGTTTCTATCTTTGCGACTCATCCTTCCATAAAGCTCATGAACGGTTTAAAGTCAACCTTGTTACAGCCACTATTAACATTGTTACAGTTCCAATCGGCGTTGTTGCAAATTTACTGATTGTCACCGCCATCTTTAGCTGTCTTCGTCTACGAACTCCCTCTAATCTGTTGAAAGCTTTTCTGGCGCTTTCTGATTTGTTCGTATCCCTAACAGTCAAGCCCGGGTATATCACATACAGGCTTTTGGAAAACCAGCTTCGCTTAGTTCCTTGTTTTGTGAGGATTATGTATCATCTGGCTTTTTTCAGTTGCTTTGGAGTGTCTTTTATGACTTTGAGTGCTGTCAGCTATGAGCGCTTCGTAGCTGTTCGACTGCAAGTCAGATACAATGATTTCTTCTCTTCGACACGAGTTGTG